CTAAATAAGCCAATTAGATATTGTTCTAAAAAAAACACAATAGTATTACCTTTTCTGTATTCTATTTCATTTGAATTTATTTTATACCTATGAAAAAAGCAGCAAAAACAACAAGTACAGCGGAACTTCGGCAACACGTTGAACATAGAGTGATGTGTGTTCATATTCATCACAAATATATCAAGTGAAATGAAAATCATTTTCATTTCCTTTATTCATATGTACTTGAGTCGACCTTAAAAAAATTACGAAGTGATTTCTACAATTTTCGTATGTTGATAACTGATAATCAAATACAAGCAAAACTTGTTTCCTAATAAAAATCTACAATATATCTAATTCAGTTGTCCACTAAAAATGTGTTGTGCTTTTTTTCTTGATCCAAAATAAATTACACGTCCTTCAGACAATAAATAAAGTCTACACATAAAACATAAATGACTTTAAAAATAAACAAAACACTAATCAAACTTACGTATCAAATAATTGAAAAATTTCACTTGATGGTTGATGAATTGTATATACAATTATTTTAACTTGATTGTATCATATATAATAAATGCCATACTCCCATCAAGACCCAAAGTTGCGTACAAAAACATAGAAAAAAAATTCTTTTGAAAACGTTTTCTTGAAAGAATAAATCAACTACTTCATCAACGAATAATAATGGTGGATCATCAAGAAGAGAAGGTCCCCAAGTGTGACGCTCTGTTTTGAATCGGATATGCACCAGTTTGTCGAGCTCAATGGGACTAGAAGAAGCCTAAAAGCATTCGTCCCCATACATTCTCCTTAACGAGTTATGATCATACTGTTGGATTTTTGGCCTCTAGCAAGACATACATGAACCAATAGAATTACCAAATTTCAACTTGAAATTTTGCCCATAGACAGGTTTCATAGTCATTAAAATGTTTTACAAGTTTCAAGAAAAAGAATGCTTTCTTCTTGAGATATTGAATGTTAAAGAGCCTTGTTTTTCTGACGTTTCTTTGTAATAAATGATCATTTTTTGGATATTCAATATCTCAAGAAGAAAGCATTCTTTTTTCTTGAAGCGTATAGGACATTTTAATGGCTATGAGACCTATCTATGGGCAAAATTTCAAGTTGAAATTTGGTAATTCTATTGGTTCATATATATCTTGCTAGAGGTAAAACAATCCAGCAGAATGATCATAACTCGTTAATGACACTGTATGAGGACGAATCCTTTTAGGCATCTTCTAGTCTCACCAAGCTCGACAAACTGGTACATATCCGATTCAAAACGGTGCGTCACACTTGGGAACCTCTTTCCTCGTAAAATTTAAGTAAAATGGTTATTATTCTATAGAGAAGACTTAAGTGAATTCATCCTTTTGAGATTTTTCATATCCCACTAAGGACTACCGCTATGTACTACAGAGTTTGAAGTAAAAAAGCGATTAATCCATTGAAAAGGTTCTCTCGTTGAAATAAGAAAAAACTCTAGTAATGATTTCTAGGTACAAATCGAGTGGCATTACTTTATTTAAAATGTAAATAATCAACGACGCGTTAATTAGAAAAAACTCTAATGTAACGATTTAAATTTTTCTTCTCTTTTCTTTAATTAATCAAGATATCTTTTTTTTCTCGAAAAATCCAACATGAAATTTTCTGTAAACATCTATGAAGTACCATTTAAAATGTCTTCGCTTTCATTTATTCAAAAAATAAGAAAAAGTAAAGATCTTGAAAGTATTCTAAAAAATACGTCCGAAAATTGTGATGACGAGAGAAAGACTTTTTTCAGATCTGTTTCGAACTCTTTTGGTATAAGAAACTTATTTATACATGAAAATGCATAATAATATAGATACTAGTCTCTCGTGGAGTTGTGTCAATGATTCGGAGAAAAGTATGCATTGCAAAGGTGGAACAAAAGCTTGAATGAAAAAAACAATCATCCATTAGAATACTATCGAAGAAAAGAGAATTTAATAACAATTATTCGTGAAATATTGAGAACTGATTTAGCTTATTTTGAGTAGAAGAAGATCAATGAACCTTAAGATCTGTAATAATTAGAAAAAGAAGGCAATGTAGTTCATTAAATGCTTCTACAACAACAAGTTGATCAATGAAATACGAAAAAATGTCTTTTTCTCATAAAAAAACATCTGCTTCTATTATACTGTATATATAGATTGAGACAAGTCGGCTAACATTTGCTGATGTCTGTCATTTTCGAGATAATGAAAACATACATTACATCAAAAGTACTTCTGTGGGTAATTTATTTCGATTGATAGTTTTGTTGTGATAAGCTATAGATATAAAGTGGTTACATATATTTAACTGTTTTGTATTAGAAACAGGTATAAGCGCATGGCAANAGCCGTCAAGTTGACTACAGGCCGACACCAAATTTTCACCACCATCACATGTTATAGCAACTACTTTATGGTAAATACCTAAGCTTTCCAATTTTTCTTTAACTGAACGTGAAATATTAAATCCTGTGTGTCTTTCGTGGAAAGAAGAAAAATGAATGACTTTAGAAAAATATGCACATTTGTCATCGAACTAATGATCTGTAATACATAAGAATGAAACAGAACGACGGCTTGTCCAAAAGTCAAATGTTAAACCAATATAATCAATATCTTGTAATTGTTCTTTTAGAACTGTTAAATGAAAATCATATAAACGTTTCAAATTGTCGGAAACTTGATTTCGATGAGGAGGTATGTAATTTAGAAAATAGATCATAGATAATAAGAATATTGATACAAAATAACAATAAATTGTCGTTTGATCATCACACTATTGAATTTGTGATAAATCTTAGCATATCGTTTTTGCGATAAAAATGTTGTTAGAATAGTCTTCGTGCTATTAAAATGTTAAATACTAAGTAGCCCCATGAAATTTTCTCAGAATATCGTGAAGTTTTAAACGAGTATCTTGCGCTGCTATTTTTCAGAATAGAACAAGATATAGTCTTTCGTGTCTTAAAAAACTTTCTCACAACATGTTCCTTTTGCAAAAGCTTTTCAATTTATTGAAAAAACATGATGTAATATTGGATATTTTTTATCTCTTTTGATCGACTGATGACATATATGACTACATATAATTATTTGGTCAAAATATGTTTTTCCGTACAGAATGATTAGAGTTATCGTCTGGAAAAAGATATCTCGAATTGCGTAAGCATGGCCTATTGCTATGGTTGTATTACTAGTCTTCAGTCAACATTTTCATCTTAAATTACTTTAGGAAAATTTTTAAAGTTTCTTTTTTTCCACAAAAGCTGCATGTCTTTTGCACCCATGATTATTGTACAAGACTGATCGTATTAATCAAATAATATTCACCATACTTTCTCATTATGATTGCAGTTTTTTCACACAAGACATAATCTTAACAATTGTCCTGCTGAGCCTCCTTTTATGAAGCATTCTTTTTTTCAAGTTATTCTGTAACATATTAATTCATTAGTCCTATTTAGCAGAAAGTTTTTACAGTTTTCTTTAGGATCTTCACTGTATATTTCAAAGTCCAATCAATAGTATATGACCAAGAGAAAATTGCAAGCATGTATTTGACAAAGTTTGAGTAAATATGAATGCAACTTATGAATGATGTCAAACAAAAAGTTAGCGGCGTGTGCAGAAATTCCAGTATAGAAGAGTATAAGAAAATGATTGATACTATTTCGAAATCTTTAAGATTTGTCGAAAAACAAGAACAATATATTAGCTGATGAATCAGATGGGAAATATTTATACAAAGATTTAGATGACACAATTTTAAATACTCAGATCTTCTACCAAATATTTTTCTTGAAACTTTTTCTCGAAAAATGTAAGACGATAATTTCAAGACTAATAAAACAACTATACCATCGAATTACATTTTTTTAAAAAAACTCTTTTTTTTTCAAATGGTAATTCTAATCTTCTTCTACGAAATTAAATATTACGATCAAATAGCTATATAAGTTTGTGAAAGATATCGTCGATCTATTGTGAAAGGTCGACAGTCTTAAATCATGGTTTAGATAGAAAGAACATATGTCTTAACGCCGATCTAGGCGGCATTTACTCTATGGTTTTTTAGTCATACAAAGGCATTGCATAGAAGTATCCCTGATGCTCTGCAATATACAGAGTAGAACAGAACTTTTTCATGCGTCATTTCTTTCCTCAGAGATGATCGAATAAAGTACTTTATAAATATCTTTAATCAATGCTTCTTCTAATCAGAGAATGCTTGGTTTACTTTTACTAGTTTCCCAAGGCATCCTTTATCATGTTTTATCTAATTTTGCAGAAATATAATAATTATCCTGTTTATTATAGGGAGATACTAATGGACATATTGTCGTCGATTGTATATTAACAAAGCCTTAAAACACGTGAACTCGTTATTATATTTCCACAGGATTATTTAAAGACATGGTGGAAAATTGAGTCCTGAAACAAAAAAAACTTGTATAATTTCTCTATAAATAATGAGTGTAGCTAAATCATTCTTTAAATGGAAATTGCGCGATGAAGCTGCTAGCAGGTATTTTTAATATAAAATTATAAACAGACTGAAAAGCCGAAGTTCACATATTTTGAACTCAATAGTGATAATGATTTAATTCAGTTTTCAACCAAAACATGAATACTGCATGTATTTCTGTTGAAAAATGTTTTTCATGAATCTTATCCGAATACAATTAATAATCTAAAAATCTATCAATGTTGAATGCATTTGAGTATGTTAAGCTCCATTAAGATGTTTTTATATTGAGATGGATAATACTCTATGTCACTGATTTTTACTAAGTCGACTCTATTGACACCAAAAAGGAAATATCTGGTATTTAGAGTATATTTTTTACTCTCAGGTATTTGCCTTATCATTTTCGATTAAAATCTGAATTCTATGTTACAAAAGTTTTAATTTTCGTCCAATAAAGAAAAACAATTGATTTCATTATTCACTACAACTGCACTCTCACCGTCTTTTAAGAATAGTTAAAAGCTACTATAATGATAATAATCTTTTATACCTGGACACAATTTGTTGAAAATAGCCAACAATCCTGGTTTACGCATATCATTAAATGGACGATGGTCAATAATTATAGCATTATAACATAAAGAATGCAGTTCATTTTTTAAATGTTGAGATACTTTTGATTTTGAAGATGATGATGATGGACTGATAATTAAATCATATTTATCATGCTGACGAATCAAATGGTAACGAATTGTTGACGTTGAATGAGATACTACAGCACAAGCATATCCACATAAATTACATGTGGCGGATTTACCATCCTCGCTCTTCGTAGCATAAAGCCAAACACTTGATTGAGATTTACGATTAGGAAAATTTTGATGAATAGATGATGTTGTTGTTGGATTGGTGGTATCCGATGATTGTGTTGTGATGTTGTTATTTGATGATGAATTTGTAGTATTTGATGTTGGCGGACTAGAACTATTATCATTTGATAATGTTATCCTTGAATTTGTGTTTGTTGTTGTTGGTATATTATGATGTTGATTATCATCAAGAATTTCATAGTCTGTACTTGTACTGTTTTTTTTTCTTTTTTGTCCCATTTTTTTCTGAATATCTAAAATAAGTAAATCTATATACTTCACACTACCTAAATTTTATAGGTCATTTAAGAAAGACCATATATTGAAATGGAACAGATACGTTCTGTGATGATAATTTGTACGATTTTTTAAGTAAACTGCCTTTAGAAACCTTTCCTTGTTTTATTCTATTCGCAGCTTAGTTGGAACTTCGACAGTTAGTTGAATTCGTTAGAGCCGAATTCCGAATGAAATGTAACAATAATGATCGAACAGACTAAGATTAAGGAGTTTGATTTTATAAGCAGTCAGAGCTTCAAACGATTCTTTTGTAGGTCACTTCTGCAAAATCGTTTTCCTAGAACATGACTTCGCGAAATTATCATGTGTAGCACTATCACTTTGACAATCATTCACGAGTATAGCAGAGATTTGCATAGTTTGACTTCTTTAAGTAGTGACCTGAGCCAAACTGACTTCGACAGAAATTTGACTAATGTTGAACGAACTAAATTGAATCACAATTGGTTACTAATGGACTGTAACGAAATGAAAAAAATTGTTTTACTAAGCATAATTGAATTTATATGATCTTGTGAGACATCTATTTCACCTTTTCCTCAGTTTATTGAAAACGGTATTTTTGAGGGCTTTGAAGCTTTAGAGATTTGTCAATCTTAGTGAATAGAATAAAAACACAGAAAGTTTTTAAGTTTCTGAATACTTTCTTCGCTTAGTCTAATTTCAGACGCTCTTTCGCTGAAGTCATGGGAACGAATAAACTAATATGCACTCTGAAAATATTTTTTAGTGTGAAAATAAGTTGTTTATGTATAAGAGTATGTCACTGTTTTTACGAAAGGTTCTTGACCACTTCAGTTTTCGACTTTTTATTTTAATTAATTTTTTTTTAACAAACTAATCCTAATTATTGTAAGAAGTGATTGCATTTACCAAAGAAATTAATTTAAAGCTGGAATAAATATATTTGTAAAGTTGAAACGGAGATTAAAGCTGTAAACTTTATGTTCAATGCCAAACGTTTGGAATCTTCATTGACAACATTTTGCTATCGTTAGTGATATTTTCTTTTTATATTTTAACCATGTAGTTTACGACGTGTATTACATGTTGATCGTCAAATCTTTTAAACGAAAAGCCATTTAAAAATAATTTAAGATTACTGTTTCATCTTAATTGGATAGAAGTACAATATTTACTGATTTCGTTCTAAAAACAAAATCAATTATATGTTTTCTTTTACAAAAATCTAATCATAAATCCTACGGACACAAATGATCCTATAACTTATACTAATTTGACGTTAATTGTATCGTATTTTGATAATACGATTTAAGCTCTCTCAAAAAAGTCACTTTTCGTCAGAATCATTTAAATTAATATAAATACATAGGAAGGTAGCCTGTCATTTGCTTTTTAATAAACGATAAAAATTTGTCTTAGATACTCCTTTTTTCCAAAAATTTTTCAAGATTTTTGACAACCCCTATTCGAAAAATCTAAAAACCTTTTTCTTTTTTTTCTCAAAATGGTGATCCAACGATGCATCTCCAGTAAAAGCTAACTATAATTCGATTTAAATGGAAATATTTATTTTGTCTGAAAGACCATCAAAAACTGTAATGCCTATGATAGTCCTTTTTTTTTTATAAAGCTTTATTATTATATTGACAAGTAATTTTATTATTCGAGCGCCATTTAATGAGGGATTATTGAATGATTGAACTTGTAATTCAATTTTTCCTTCATAAAGATAAGAATAAAAAAAGGATTGTCTTGGGCACTGCATTCTGACATGCTCTTTCATATGAAAAAACAATGAATCATATTAAATGAACATCCATAGACATTTTTTGGAGAGGTGGTAAGCTAATTTTTGATCCTTGTTTCGTTCGTATCTACCTTATACATCAGGATAGGAGGCTGAAAATTTTATTATAGACGTTCTTTTATATTCCCAATATATCCTCAAAGCTTCATGATATTTCAATGTTCTTGAACTGAGATCGATTTTTGAAGGGGTTCTTGAATGACAAAAGATGTGTATTTTTCCCGAATCTCTTAATTCTTCAATGAATAAATGCTGGCTCTTTTCCAAATGTAGTACTTGACAAAAATGACCCACATTACAAAAGAAAAGAAACTCTACATTCAGAAACTAATCAGTGTTTACTTATTGATGTGTTATATGCAAGCTTCTAAAATGAGAAAAAGATGAAAGAGAAAATTCGAAAAGAGTTATTCAATTTAAAAATAAAGTTGACATAGATCTCAATCTTAGTCAATGTCTTATTGTTGTACAATCCTGTTTAGATAGATTGATTCAGTAAAGTATAAGTTACAGTGAGATGTTTTTACCGTTGATCAATAGGATGTCATGTTAAAAAAGAATCATCTCATTCTGAGTCTTTGTGTGAAATAGCACAAGAGTTTTTTGAAATATCTATTAAAACCAGTCATACGATCCGTTTTACAATGATCTCCTGCCTTTGACAGACGCAATAGTCATGAATAATACTGAAAAAAAGCAATTGGCATCGCATTTCCCGGTACACATCTTTGGACTTTTTGGATATGTTTATCATCCTGTGTAACAATAGTTTTGATCAACCGAATATAATTATCCAGTACTATGTTGCTAGATGCTTGAACGTTCTCTTCAAAAGTATATTGACTATTCTTCTTCTTTTTTATTGTTTAACACAGACACAGTTCTTTTTATTCAAAGAATATGAGTTTCTTTTCAGTATTATTTTCCATAATTATTTTAACTATACGATTAGATTGTTGATTCCATTCCAAAGTATTTTGCATTTAGCAAAAAATTTTCATCGTTTAAGATGAATAATGAAGTGAATATGTTCATCATATTATAAATGAAAGATTTACGTAGTAGATTAAAAATAACAATTGTTTTCTAGTTTCATCATTTGACCAATCATTTGCCGATATTAATAGACTCGTAAAACGAACCTGTTCAGTTTTCTGATAAACATCTAAATTACATAAATTAAGGACCGTCGGTCGTTTTTCAATACAGACAATTTGTTGAACAGCATTAGCAACACTTATTCCACCGCTTACCATAAAGCTGTTGCCAATATCGATGCAACCATGACGATAACCATGGCTATAACCACAATAATTGGCTGAAACAGGCAAAGAAGAAAAAAAACTGATTAAAGTAAGAAATGATTATTTATCGTCGCTAAAGAAACCAAACCGGAATAGTAGAATCCAAATCTGAATTCATATTCTTAAATTTTTCAATTTACTTTTTCCAATACTACATTCTTTCGTGAAAGTCGTCTTCCAGAAAATTTTATTCTTCAAAGGCGTTATATGAAAAGAACTAAAACTAAACATTTTCAAAAGTGGATTTCAGATTCGAATTCTTTGTTCTCGCTTTATTTTCGTCAACCCTTATATTAGGTTGAGCAAAAAGTTCGCGGCCACTTGCAAAAATTTTTATTTATTAAGTTTACTTTTAAAGTTTTTTGTGTTTCGTTTTTAAAACTTGTATATCTCGCGTGTGCTAGCTATTCTTGTATAAATTTTGTAATTTCATTTTCATCATTTGAATTTAGATGAATAATTTTGAAATTTGTGTTTTGCTCCGCAACTATTGGAATAAAGGTCTGTCTGCAAGAGCTGCTGCTGCCGAAATCAGCAAAGTGGAAGGCGAAGGAACGATCGGGAAAACTGCCGCGATAAAATGGTTCAAGCGATTCGAGGATGGCGATTTTGACTTCGAAGACAAGCCTCGTTCTGGCCGACCATCTGTTCTGAACGAAGAGGACTTGCACGCTGCTTTGGAAGACGAGCCGTCATTTAGTACTCACGATTTGGCCGATGAACTTGGAGTCGCGCAGCGGACCGTTGTCAATTACCTGCACAAGTTTGATTTTGTCCACAAGAAGCCACGACAAGATCCTCACGAACTCACTGAAGCACAAGCTATACGATGTGTTGAAATCTGCCGCCAACTGCTCGATAATCCGTTGGACGATCGATTCTGGAAGCGCATTGTGACATGCGACGAAAAGTGGGCTTTCTTGGTCAATCGTGATCGCTCTAGGCTTTGGGTTCCACGAGATCAAAATCTGCCACCGGTTGCTCGTCAAGATCCTTTCGACAAAAAAGTCATGTTGTGCGTCTACAACGTCTTGAAGCAGCGCTACCCGACGTTGATGCGCCGAGAACGTGCCCTTCTTCAACACGACAATGCTCCAGCTCATCGTGCCAATTTGACCAAGAAGAAGCTTGATGAACTCGATGGTGTAGAGGTTCTACCGCATCCGGCTTACAGTCCCGGCCATGCTCCTTCTGATTATGGCTTATTTCGTTCAATGGAGCACTTTTTGCAAGGACGACGACTTGAAACTTTTGATCAAATCGAAGCAACGTGCCGTGAATTCTTTAAGTCCAAGGAGTCACACTGGTATCGAGATCAGATTCGACAACTTGCAGAACGCTGGCGTAAGGTCATTGAGAATGATGGGTTGTACTTTGAAGAATAATTGTTATTGATTTTGAATAAATTTATGCATAGAAAAGAATTTTTTGCAAATGACCGCGAACTTTTTGCTCAACCTAGTAAGAATACAGTTATTTTTCTTAAAAAGTCCTGTTTTTCGTGATAAGTGGTTCAAACTGATAATTGTACCTAGGATCATTGTAATTAGACAGGTAAGCATAGATACGGTTGTCGTAGTTGGACCAGTAACCATAAGTAAGGTCTGTTATAATATTGGACCGGTGACCGTACCTACGGTTACCGGTTTGGACCGGTGAAACGGTGACGGTTAACCGGTGATTGATCATCACCGTTGCATCCCTAATATAGATAGTTAGAGGCACTGACAGCGCAAAGCACTGTCTTTTGTTTAACAGAAAAACGCTGCTGTGTTCACTGACAAAATCAGTAGTTGAAAAGTTCCCAAAGAAGTAGTACCGGTTTTTACTTTCAAAAGTAGACATGTTCGATAGGCAATGCCAATTCATCTAGAGATTACTGAACATAAAGACTAGATGAATAGTCTGACTGGTTCATGATTCTATTAGCGATCATAGGGACAGTACGAAAATCAAGTGAGTTATTGTTTAGTCTGATAAATATGATTATTCTTAGGCTGCAAAATAAAGTTAAACATTCATAGTCAATGAAATTTAAAATTCAGTAGGGATCTATAACGGTCCACGTGTACCATGACCATTTTACCTTGAAACATTTTTATCTATTACTTATGCTAAGCACTAACCATGAACAATAAGTAATCATGGTTGTCATCAATGGTAATCTCATACATTTCAATAACTCATTCCGTTTTCTTCTACTTCACTAAATGTACTAACAACTTACGTCTCATTCTGAGATCAAATAAAACACATGATTTATTAATGGAGCTACGGATGACAAACCAACTCTCACATAAGACAGAAGTAGAACAGTATATGAGAAAAAGTAGCGCTTGTCCGAATTAAAACATTCGGCTAAATGAAATTTTCGCTACTTCCTAGAAATTCGTCAGGGCTATAATCCCATCTCGAACTTTTTTGCCACTTAAGTTATAGCCCCACATATTACTTTTTTCTTTTTTGTGTTTTATTGTTGGACAGCGGAAACTAATGTTTGTCTTCCTAGATAACACGAAAAGATAGGCAATTAACCATATCTGCATTGCCTATAATGCTCTATCTTGATGCCATTTAAATATATCTAAAATCCGAGTATCCATCAATACATTCCCTCTTTTTTTCATTCCATCATCTTTACTTATTGATCTTTGTTTCTCTACATCTTCAATCTATTTAAACAGTTGATATTGTTTAGAAAAGGATTCTTTTTCTCGAAAAATGAAAATGAAAATTTACATCTAAAGTTTCAATCGTTAAGGAAATCCTCCTCCTTCTGTTCGGGGTTTCCTAAGAATAGCGTGACAACAACTTCTGAAATTTTTAGGGTAAAGAGATATCGATTAGTAGAGCAAAAGTTGTCATAGATTGAGGATTCTCGGATGCTTCCTTCTATAAGAAAAAGAGGACCCAAGAACCCAATACAACTTTGCAGTTTTCTTTTCCGCAAACATCCAGATTTCATTTTTAATGGCTAAATTCTTTTTTTTGTAGCAACTAGGATCAAATCTGGATGTATTTTGTTTCCTTTGCTTAGGACAAGCAAAATACTGGAAGTCTTATCAAAGAATGTGTTTTGTTGATCAGAGTAAATTGTGTAGAACCTGTCAAAACTCACCAGAACATTATTTTAAGAAAAAAAAGATATACACTCTGATTTAATTCTAGTGGTCATAAAAAATGTTAGCCTGATCGGCCGTACTGTGTACGAGAAAATTGACGGAAAGCTTCAATTTTTTGTTTGAAAATCTGATTTTGAGAAAAACGCAAAGAAAGTTGCATTTTTTGACATTTTTAGCATAAAATAGAATAGTTTTTCAAGTTTTTGTATGTAAAAAGGAGATTTTAACTTCTGAAAATGTTGTCATTAGATAGGAGACATTTAAATCTACGTACTAAATATAAAAAGTTGAACATGTTGGGTCGAGAAAGGCAGGGACCTAAAATACACGCTTTAATCACACTAAATTTAGTTTTTCTCATATTTTCGAAGATTTTTTCAACCTTCTGTAAAGAATGAAATGTTTGGTCAAGTATTATACGAACGATTTATTGAGATGATGAGTTCGAATAAATAATGGAAAATTTCAGTTTGGAGATTAAAAGCTAAGAAGAACGCATTTTATTTTTTGTCGTGATTAAAATCGTTTAAGAACATATGCAGTAGTTTAAATAGATTTTTATGAATAAAATAATGATTAAAATCAGTAGTTTTTTACTTTTCTTCGCCATGGACATATACCTGTTTCTAATATAAAACTTAGTTAAATATATGTAACCATATTATATCTATAGCTTATCACAACAAAACTATCAATCGAAATAAATTACGCACAGAAGTACTTTTGATGTAATGTATGTTTTCATTATCTCAAAAATGACAGACATCAGCAAATGTTAGCCGACTTGTCTCAATCTATATATACAGTATAATAGAAGCAGATGTTTTTTTATGAGAAAAAGACATTTTTTCGTATTTCATTGATCAACTTGTTGTTGTAGAAGCATTTAATAAACTACATTGCCTTCTTTTTCTAATCATTACAGATCTTAAGGTTCATTGATCTTCTTCTATTCAAAATAAGCCAAATCAGTTCTCAATATTTGACGGATAAGTGTTGCTAAATTCTCTTTTCTTCGGTAATTTTCTAATGGATTATTGTATTTTTTATTGGAGAGTTTTTTAGGCTGTATCTTGTGGTATATTCGGTTTTTTAATAAAACGTATTTAGAGCTTAAAATATGAAATGCAAAGTGCAACCATTCATTATTAATCACGCGCTATGTTACACCATAGGGATGAGATTTTTTTTATTCTTATACTTATGGATCTATCAATAGATGCTTGCAAATTAACTGCGCCTACTATTTTATATAAATGCTGACATCGTCTGACTCTATGATTGGAAGTCACCATTCATAATTATTTAGCAATATGGCACGATGACATTCTATCATCACTTATCCGCAGTTGCACCTTTCGAAGGTCTTCAGATTTCATATCTTAAATTAGTGTAAAAAGGACTTATAGCAATGAAATTGTGTCATTGTATGACTCTTCTAAATGGTTAAACATATGACATAAGAGTTAGTGGAAAAAAATGAATAAGTCATATGTTCTTTCATCGTGCAAAAGTCAGCCATTAAATTACGAAGAATCCGTTATTATTTATGAATAGTTTATATCACAAATCAAAATATGTACATGAAAATAAAATTAAACAGTCTCATATATATATTTATCCAGTTTTTCGTTGATATTTTGCTCGTAATATCAAAACAATAAGACTAATAATTCGAAAAGTACCAAAGAGAACAAAAAGTAAACCCAAATTACGATAATAATTGCTCTAAAAAGAAAAACTTTTGTAATCTAGTTTGAGAAAAATATTTTTTCTACATACTTTTTTAAAACCATAATAATCAATAATATCGTTACCAGTACGAAAACAAGTTGAATTACCTGGTTGATTACATTCCAGTGATTGAACATCTTCCCATTGATTAATTAAAGCCATTTCATTTGAATAATAAAGCCAAGAAAGAAATTTTAACCAAACAAGCCAATTAGGAATTGTTCTAGAAGAGTAATCATAGGAACTTCTCGACATTATATTTTATTTTAATTTACTTTGTTTTTATGAAAAAGCCGGCAAAGACAACAAGTGGAATGACGATTGGAACAACAAGTGCTGCGGCAGCATCAGGCGAAGGTACAGAGACTCCTATAAGCGCTCCTAGAAAACAATAATATTGATAAAAAACAATGAATTTTCTCTAGTTCATATGATTTACCCACAGATGTTGCCACTAAACCACATAAAATAAGAATACCTTGTAAAATAAAATATCTTCGAACATTATTAAATAAATTAGCCATCCAATAAACAATAGTTCCATATACAAATATTGATAATGCTTGTGTTGGTAGTTGTAGGATAAATCTCGATATATAATATGGTATTGTACGATAGATTCCATCATCATGTTCTTTAAAAAATAATGATAATTGTCGATTATAACTCTAAAAAATAAAATAAAGTTAAAAATTAAAAAAAAGTAAGAAAACAATTTTTATTCCAAATTACATCAGCACTGTGTTGAACACTTGAAAATGAAATATTAATAATCAACATAAATATAACTGATGATATATTTTGGAATGCTTGTTGATTATATTGTAAACGTAAAAAGAGAAGACCAAAAAGAACACCAACAATTGCTGATAAAATAAAATTAAGACGTAGTTCAAATGGATTTTTAAACATATCAATAGATGAGCGCCATAATAACCAACGAAGTTGAGTGAAGAAACCAGCTTTACATCTAAAAAAAAGAATTTTTTTTTTCAAGAAAAATTTGATCTCTGTTTATGTTCATTATTGACAACAAACTTTGGTGAACGACTAAATAATCCACCAGGTGAATCTGATTGATCATCATCAATAGTATGATATTGTTGAGCTTCGGCAACACGTTGAGCATAAAATGATGTTTGTTCATATTCATCACAAATGTACTAAGTGAAAAGAAAATAATGAAAAATCATTTTCATTTCTTTTATTCATATTTACTTCGACACGTTCTAATGAATTTTCTTTGTCAAATGGTAGTATAGCTAATGTTTGTATATAAAAATCCGATAAGTTGTAATTATCTGGTGCATTGAAACCTAACCTAGACATATTATAGTTTACAATTCACATATAAATGATCATTCATGAACAACAAGTATTCAACGTTTCTTTATAATTCGATGTTATATTTTTTTATTTCAACAACTGATTGTTAAATACAAGAAGAAACCTGTTTCCTAATACAAATCTACAATATATGTATAATTGACTTACCCACTAAAAAATTGTTGTGCTTTTCTTCTTGATCCAAAATAAGCCACACGTCCTTCAGCCAATAAATAAAGTCTGAACATAAAACATAAACAATTTCAAAAATAAGTAAAACATTAATCAAACTTACGTATCAAATAACTGAAAAATTTCACTTGATGGTTGATGAATTGTACATACTATTGTTTTACCTTGATTGCATAATTTTCGCATTGCGTCACATATAATAAATGCCATACTTCCATCAAGACCCGACGTTGGCTACAAAAACATAGAAAAAACAAATTTCTTTTGAAAACATTTTCTTAAAAGAATAAATAAATTACTTCATCAGCGAATAATAACGGTGGATCACTAAGTACCTATATTTTTCATAGACAAATAAAGTCATCATTACAATCATAATCGAAGAAAAACAAAATCATACTTCAGAAGCAAAAAGTAAACGTCTCTTTTCACCACCTGATAAACCTTTGATACGTCCAGGTTGACCAATAGCTGTTTTTTCTACTTTTTTCAAGTTTAACTATCCAAGAAAAATATTAAAAAACAACTAAAGTTTCTTCAAACTTAAATATACTTACAAAATCCAATAATTCTTCAACACGATTAATACGTTGTTCTTTTGATACATCACGATTTAATCGTAACATAGCCTAAAGAAAAATTTCCATGAGAAACACTTAATATAATATAGAAATAATTACATGAAAATATAAATGTTCTCTTGTTGTCATTGATGGTATAAATAATTCCTCTTGTTGAACATAACCAGCTACTCGATTTATATGTCGACCCATTTTTGTTCCATTTACTCTCACTTCACCAGTGACTTTTAATGTACCAGGTCGACGATGTGCTAAAAGATTCATTAATGTTGTTTTACCAGCACCACTAGCACCCATTATAGCTAATAATTGACCTGGTTTAACAATACCACTAACTAAATTAATTTAAATAAAAAAAGGGAAACTTTTAAATAAAAAGAAAACAATCTTTCTTATTCTCACCTCCTTTTAGTAACATTTTTGATTGACTAACTTCTTTCGATGGACAAAGTGCTTTTGTTATTGTTCGTTTAATACCTTCATCTTTTGGTGGTGCATTAGCTTGTAAATCAAGCCATGTTAAAGTAACTGGTGGAGAAGTAAAATCTATTTTACTTAGACCAATATCATCATCAGATATAATTACTCCTCGAGTTTGTGGTTGAATTCTATTTCTTCGTCTTCTACCATAAGGAATACCAGGTTGAATTGGTATATCTGCTTGTCGTCTTAGATAATTGTGCCAATCAAGATCACGTTGTACATTTAAATAATTATGTGCACGCCAAGCTGGATTCTGTTCAACAAAAGAGAAAATGAGATTTTTATTAAAAATAAAGAGTATCACTTTTATAATATACATACATTTTGTCGTACATAATCACCTAAAGTATTGATTTGAGGCTTTCGAAAATTATTTCCTGTTGCATGTGCTTGAAAAGTCTATTAAAAAAACATAGAAGACTTTAACAAATGAAAGAAATTCATTAAGTTACATACCATGCTTTCTTTTTTTTATCTAATCGGCAATAATGCTTACGAATTTACGCACAAAAAAAATAAGCAACGGATAACAAAACAAACAACACCTAATTATACCTCATTTGACTGTCAAACTTAAGGTACACAAGAACGCGTACGAATAGTCAATCAAGCAAAACGATGAAAAGATATGTCTAAAAAATGATCACCTTTAATGTACTTTACAAATACTTTAGTTATCCTCAAGTGCTATGCCAAATTGCAGTTATCGGTCTCATTTTAATTAATACAGGCTGGATTTTTAGTATTCTTTCTTTTCTTATTTCAGCTTCATTGTAATAAAAGCATACTTTTTTCACCTTTTTCCAATAAATATGTACCGTCAAATAGAAAGGTTCTGACCTTTTAACTAATAATAGTGATTCAGTATTTTCACATTGCTTCACTTTCTTTTTCTTGTATTAATTTTCATAATCATTCGAAAAATGCCTTATTAACAATGATAAAATCAGTTTTGATATTTGTTGTAATGACACTCACAACATAGTAACTGAATGACAAACGCAAACAGAACATAAAATAAACCAGGTTACTCTATGAAACGGTTTCATAAGAAAATCATTTAATGTTACTTGACTTGTTTTCTTCTCGTTCCAATTTTAATAATATTTCGTAGTACTTCATCGATCCAAATTTCAAGAAAAAAACAAACAATAGATAATATTTCATCAAATATCTTATGTTCAACTAAATAAAACAAAACAAACTTTTTCATACTTTCGACAACTAATTTTAGTTTTGAATGAAATTTAGAAAAATCATTTATGGAAAGTAAAACAAACTTACATAGGATACTATAAAATTTGTATCTTGAAGTTAAGTATTCTGTAATAATACATAGAGATATATAGGATTGTGTGTAAGATTTCAAACCTCCACGCTTTGTACAACGTCTTATTCTTATATTTCTTTCATGTCACTCATACATCATTCTTTAAACGAACCACAAGATCGATTTCGAATTATGATTTTATGTAAACAAAAAGTTGGTTCAATGTACATGAAAGTCATGCCTTTAGAGTACAGGCATAGTTAGAATTGAGAAGCATCAGATCAAATAGTTCACAATAGGTCTCATGACTTTTAACCGAGAAAATTTCATGTTGTCCGTTCAGCTGTTGTTTACACAGAAACAATTGATGCTGTCCAAACAATAATTGAAAATGGTTTTCACTAAACATATGAATTAATAGAAGACATTCGAAGCATGATTTCAGCACCAATGATTTCTACTCGTTCAAAGTTTTACCAAGTTTTATATTTGATAAGCACATTGTTAGTTTACTGATGACTCAAAGCAGCTCCATATTCAATCATTTCATCATTTTCTGAAGAAATGTGGATGAATTAATTTCAATCTTGTATTTAACTTTTTCACTAATGATAGATCATAATTATATCATTAGAATAAAGAATAACAAGTGTAGTCAAAGTTAAGAAAAATAAAATAACGATATTCAATATTCCAGCTTTTCCTATAACAACGCGAGACTATTGACATTCTAAACACACAATGAACTTGTCGTTCTAAATCATATGGAGATATATGCTGATCGAGCATATTTCACAGATCTAAATCTACGACAAAAATTAAATTCAACAGGTGTAATCTAATGTGGCACATGCTTTGGGCAGCTATTAACAAGCTCCTTTAAATTTATCTCAAACTGAACTTGAACAAGTTATTTCAATCAAGTATTCTGGTGCGTTGTACACAAGACATAGTACTTCGGAAAATCACACTGGAATGAACGTTTGAGTATTTTTTGAAGGGATTGACGAAAAAAAATCTGTACTCCTTCTATTAACACGTATTAAAATAAAAAAAAGATTTATTAATCGGTCTGTATTTCTATTGTTTCCTTTTTTTGATACAGTCTAAAAAGGTTTTTCTTTTCAAATTAGGAAGATTTATTAATGATTTATGAAAGAATGATAAATGATATTTATATTATTTTCCACAAATGAAGATAAACACATCAAGAAGAAGCACAGATAATTGCACAAATATTTAAATACAAATAGACACACACATACATAAAGAAAAACAACGACAAAATCATTTCACATATTCATTCATTATTCGAACAAAATTAACATTAACACGACAAAAACAAAAACAAAAAAAATTTCCTAAATACTTTTTACTCATTGATTTTAATGATCTTCATGTTGAAGTAAACGAAGTTCACTTTGATCAGTATTACCATTAGCCAAAAGACCATTCGTATGTGATGGTGATGTATGCCCATTACCCATTGTTGTCATACCAACAAAATTGCCAGCACCTGTTGTTCCTTCAGTTAATGTATTAACTTTTGTTTCTTTACCTGTTTCATTAATAAATGTTGTCATAGCCGTTTGTGATGTACTCGTAACTAATTTTGGTGATGCTGATGTTTTTTCCACAAGAGCTACAGGTGATGGACATTCCGATATTTCTTTCATGTAGCGACGACGATAAGCCATGTAATAAAGACATGTCAAAAGAAAAACCAAAGCCAATAAGCAAGATAATAAAGCAACAATCTTTATATTAAAAAAAACGGAATTTCAGCATAATAAAAAGAAACACAAGTTTCCCACATACCGCTGCATTCCATCCGACAGGTGATGCAAAAACATAAGGAGGAAAAGCAGGACATGGTTTTTCAAACTGTGGTGTTAAATTAATACTTTGACCAGGTTCATTGGCATTACCTATCCATCCTAAAAAAAATATGCTTCTTGTCTTACAAAAATCGAACATCTAGTTAAAAACATACGATTTGTATTATTGTTATAAAAGCTGTTGGGAAATTCGGCTGACATTCTTTATGTTCCACGAAAGAAGAATATAGGGAAAAAAATGAAATGACGACCGTTGTTGGCTCTTCTCTCTAATGAAATGAATCGGACACGAAAGAGTAAAGAGAAAACGAGAGAAGAACAAGAACAAGAACAAGAACAAGAACAAGAACAAGAACAAGAACAAGAACAAGAACAAGAGCAAGAGCAAGAACAAGAACAAGAGCAAGAGCAAGAACAAGAACAAGAAGAAGAAGAAGAAGAAGAAGAAAATTCAGCTTTTGTTTAGAAGAATGACCGACTAGCGAAACATTTTCTTCTCTCTTAAAATAAGAAGAGAAGAAACAGCGGACGAACGCGATAGAAAGCCGTTGCTACCAACGGCAGATATATTTGAAATAAACATATAAGCAAACGAACGATCTTAACTCTTGTTGATATTATTGGTGCATTCAATCATCGATAGAGTAGACAATACTTTTCTTCTCTACTGTTAATTACTCCTCAGGCATATTTCTGATATACGGGCTTTTTTTTTTGAAAAGAAAAATATACACATTGTTATTTTGATTAATGTAATGGATTTTGATTATTGAATTGATTCCCTTCTAGTTATTTTTCAATCGTTCGAAAAAAATAATATATATCAAATCAAATTTTTGTTCTTAGTGTACTATTAAAATGTCATTGATCAACGATATCCGGAATCTCCCATCATCATTTATGTTGAATGTGTCTGATTTTAGTGACCGTAAGAAGAGAACGATTGATTAGATGTATAAGATAGACTAACGTGTTAAGACGAAAGCTAAAAAACATATATAAACATCAGACTATCATCAATCACTCATTTTATATGATGATTGTATGCAATATATAGACATGTATATTGAAAGAAGAAGATGATAAGAAAGCAAACATGATGAGTGTATTAGCTTATATTAAGGTACATTTAGATTTCTAATGTTCAGTATAATTAAATAAAAAATAACGGAAATTTTAGAATAAATGAAATCAAATTATCCTTGACTTGAGCAATGTCAATTAAAGATGTTTTAATTTGCAATGAATAGAGAAATTCTACATAGACAAGAAATAACTAGTAGTTGTATTCTTAAGAGTACATGAATTGACTAATCAATATGTATAATGCAATTTTCATATATTTATGTTTTTTTTTCTTGAAAAAACAGTTTATTTCAATGCAAAATATCTATAAAAAATTATTAAATAACTAAAAAGTTGTAAATCGAATTATTGTGATCGGTTTAATATAAATTACGAAATAACATTGAAAAAATAGAATAATATTCAATTTGGTATAGCAAGAAAAGACATCTTTTTATTTTTGAGTTTAAAACGGAATCTTCAATTGTAATAAAATATTAATATAATTTATCGATGAAACATACTTTGTCAATATAGAAAACAATCAAGAATTATTCGTTTAGTAACATTGATTACAATATCATTCTGATATTGTATGAAGACACATAATTAATGTTAATAATGGTTCAAACAACAAATCTCAAAAATTTAAAAATCTTGATAAATAATAATCAACATATTGTATATGTACTAGGAATAACAACTATTTATATAAAGGAATAAATCTGTACAATCATATAACAAAAACATCATTTAGAATTGGAATATATACAGGGTGGTAAATAATATTATTCAAGGGGGGTACCGCTATAATTTCAAATAGAAGATATGATGAATTTTATACCAAATGAAAGCCTGTGAAAAATGGGGTTTATTGGTACTAAATGATGNTTATTTTAATTTTTTTAATTCTATTGTATTTTATTTTTATTGTATTTTAATTTTAATTTATTCTGTTTTCATTTTATTTTGTTTTGTTTTTTTATATTTATTTATATTTATTTTATTTCTTTTCTTTTTCTTTTCTTTTAATTTAATTTAATTTTTTTGTATTTAGTTTTATTTATTATATTTATTTTATTTTATTGCATTAAATTTCATTTTATTTTTATTTTATTTTATTAATTTTAATTTTAATTTTACTTTATTAATTTTATTTTTATTTTGTTTCATTTTATTTTATTATTTTGTATTTTATTTCTATTTTATTTATTTTATTTTGTTTTATTCAATTTTAAATAAAATTTTATTATTCTAATTTTAATTTTATTTTATTTTTGTGTATAAATAAAATCAGCAGGATTCCATCGGATTCTGAGTGTATCCGACTTTTTCCGACAATCGGATCCGACTGTTGGAAATCGTCTGATCCGACATCCGACAACTTCCGATCGGATTACCGTAACAAGGATTCCGGCAACTTCCGATAGGATCCTGTCGGAAGTTGTCGGATTTTCCAGGGAATCAGATCGGATCCGACTGTCGGATTCTTCTTCCTGGGTGTAGTTGTTTTTTATGCAAATAAGAAAGCCGAGAGATATCTATGATTCATATACGCAAACATATCCTTGAAAACTACAGTTGAAAAATGTATAGAAAACATTCAGAAGCCCCTTGGGAACCTTAGATGGTTAAGATCAAAATGTTTCATCTCCACCAAGACGTTAAGACAATGTTTTTTCTGCATATACTTCCTTATTTTTCATGGTTTTCCCTTCTTTCCCACCTTCCCGAATCACAACAACAATTATTCCAGGAAAAAATTTCGAGTCGATCTTCAAGTAGTGCATGACTGACATTTGGTCTCAGCTCGTAATCTATACACTATATCTAACAAACTCTGGCCAGAGGCTTTCGTTAAAAACAGCATGCAGAGAGGATTAAAATGCATGCACACACTGAATTTTGATCGTTCACTTTTCTATAATTATATTTTTCTTTGGGATGATCTCCATAAAAGAAAAAATCATCACCTTCACTAGTATTTTCGTGGAAACCGTGTAAAGAAATCGATAGAAAAGCAAGAATAGTTTCTCTTAAAATGGATATCATTTATTGAAATAAAGTAATTGTCTACAAAGAAAACAACATGCAGAAATCTTCTCCCTTTATCTTTTTCTCTTTTTTGCTCCTCGTTTTGTTGTTGTTCTGTCTTTGAAACATTTACAAACGTCCTTTCTCGCTTCTCTTTCACTTTCTCTTTCCTTTCGTCTCTCTCTCTTTTGTCTATTTGCTTCTTCGCAAATTTCTGTATTTTTTTAACATTTTTTTCTTTCTGTCTGTATTTACTCTGTAATATCTACATGAGCAGAGTCAATACTATGAATAATGATATTAAAGACTGCAGTAAAACCCATCGCATTAATGTTGTTACTTAATACTTAAATACCATATTTTCTCCTTATATTATCATTTAAACACTTTCGAGTGTTACATTTAGGAGCATTAAAAAGAAAGAATTCCTTTTACTTGTTGATCACCGATCGTATTTTTTTGCTATTGGTATTGTCAATAGAGTAACGATCTACAGTTGATAATAGTGGTTGTGTATCACTCATGATGTGGTGTATTGTCTTTTATCTGTGAGAGAAATTAAAAGTGAAATATCCACATAGTACAATAGAATAATTATATATGACACGCTTGGCTGAGGGCACATGTTTTGCCCATACATAATCAACATCGACAGTAAGAAGAGTACGATTGCAAAGTATAAACAAGCAAAGAGAGCCATGGATCACGTATTGATGATCAGCAACACAAAGCAAGATAAAATTGATTAGCTATTTGATTAGTCTTATCAAGATAATAACGTCAGTAGCAAGACAACAGAGATGTCATAATATCCATACGCTGGGTATTCTCGAGTTACTAGTCACGATATCCAATGAAATGGATACTCAAAAAAATTGGATGCCCTATTTTTAAAAAGTGAGGAATTTGAGTCAGCTTGGGTGGGTGTGAGTATGGGTGTCCATCTTGTCTTCACACCCACACCCTCATTCACGAACTCAATAAAAAAAACATCATTAGTATTGAGAGAAAAAAAAGGATTATAAATTTATTGAAGGAAGAAATCGAGCAATTGTATCTTATTCAAGAGAAATACAACAAAGATTTAAAATCGTTGTATGATCGACTAAGTAAAAACGTTCACAATGAAACATGCATAGTTTATATATTTTCCTTTTAGATATACACAACTATCTGTAATTGAACAAAACACGGATAAGAAAACATAAAGATCTTCGACATTATCATCTCGCTTCTCTGAACATTACTTCGTTACCTACAGAATTTGATGAATACATTTTTATTCTCTTTATTCTTTTTTATGTTGTCTTATAACTTGCTATAGTATCATCCATTTTTTTTCAGTCATATATGTTCCATGGACATTTATTATCTCATCGTTTCGTTATTGTAGAACTTTTTCTCTTTATCAATGTTCTGTTTTTCTTCTCTTTCTATGTATCATTGTAACCGTTCGATTGTTGCGATATACAAAAGAATATAGAGAAAGATACTCTAGAAAGATCTAAACCTAAAAACTGCTAGATATTTTCTATCTTAATAAGTCTGATCATAGTAAATTTATTCTTCTTACTGCTAGTTTTAATGTTGTGAAAATCATTCGACAGATTCTGATGATATATCAAACAGTTTGTTGAGCAACAATAGTAATTATGCATGCTTTGTGAAAAACGAACTGCAAAGAGTGTTGAAGTATATAGAGGTAAAACTTTCCCTTTTCTCTTCCCCGCATCACAAATCATGACAGATGTAGCTTCAAAGGTAAGATTTATCATATATATTTATAAGTTGCTACATGAAACACTGACGAGATCGTAGGCGAATTACAAGGGTCTATGAAATATTGATTTTAGTTTGGCTGTAGCTAGTGAACTGAGAAGATCAGCAAGTGTTGGGAATTATTTGAAGTAGACTTGTTTAAAACATTTTTCTGTTAGTAACAATAGTTATTTCGTATCTCACATTTTCATCGCACAGAGATTCGGCTGGCAGTTTTTCTATTTCACGATCGTTCTTGCACCTCTCTCTATACACTGTGTAGATAAGCAGATTTTGCTCGAACGTGTTCTACATTTCACGGTAAACTATACTTTCACAATCGAAAGCGAACCTCCATATAGGGAACGCCTATGAATTGTTCCGATGATGTTCACAACAGAGGTTTCACTATAATTAACAAATAATCTGATGATTGAAATGCCATCATCCACTTAAACACACCGTTTATCATGTTTTTAAGTTTATTGAATAAATCATAACAAGACTACATTTCTAGCGAAGGAAAATAAAGACAAATATCTCTCGAATGCTCCAATGATTCCAAAGTAATAAATCGTTTGATCTTCGCACAATTGCGTCGTGTTTCATCTCTTGTAAACTTCTTTGTTAGTTTTCAAGTGAAAATCGATAACTCCAAATTCGGTTAGGCAAGGTACATATGCCTTCGTTTCATTTAGAAATTGTTCAACATAATCTTTATGTGCATATCTCACATCAAGCGAAGTAAGATGAGGATATTCAGCAGTTGAATGTGATTGGCTATTGTTAGATGAAAATGTAATAAGATCATATAATAACGGCGATTCTATATTAAAAATAGGTAAATACTTCAGTAATGGAAACGATCGACCAATTCGAATGAAGAATTCATGTTTGAATGGATCATTATCTTCGACAAGTAAATACGTAACACAACTGAATACAATATTTGGAAAAGCATTACCAAGATATTCGAGATAATCAAAAGCAAAAGGAAGTGAGAAAATCGAGCATGCAGCTTTGGTAGTGCTAACATAATTAACGATACTAGTCACATTTTGTTGGCCAATATTTGTTAATGTTTGTTGAATATCTTCACTAGATAGCTTGTAAAATAAGTCAACCATGTCGACATAAGTACCAATATAGAAAGTAAATGAATGAAGTTGTGGCATATAATCAAGAATATCATGTTGAACATAAGTACCATCAATGACTTTATTTCGACCTTTTGACATGAAGATATAAAGTTAATTTTTCCAGATATGACATACGACGAAGAAGTGATACGATTTTATCATATCGCTGAAATCGATAGAACGATTTTAAACAGAAACATTTCAGATTGGATAAATTGTCCTATAAAAAAAATTTTTTTTAATAATGTACAAGATTAAGCCATACACATCATTGCTGTACACATGGTGTCTATTCCATATTCTGTCTATTAATGATCACAAATGATAAATCTATCAGTTTGATTTTGTGAAACACGATCTGAAAGGAGTGCCGAAATGTATCGGGATAAACAATAGCACCATCTCACAAACCATGACAGACGTTACCACGGAAACGTCAGAGACCGTAACAGACGCCCAAGCACCAGTACCTCCCCCATCACAGATGGTGACAGATATTATCGATTGGCATTACAAATAGCTATTTCGTTTTTCATATTTTAATTCTTTAGGATTCCGCTAACCGCTTTTCTCATTTTAGAACATAAAAAAATGGAAGTGTTGAGAGAACAATTAAAGTTTCAGATAAAATTCTAATAATATCTCAATTAGTGGAAAAATTGTTATTATAGAAAAAAATTTCCTTCCATTCTTTGCTGATGATCGTTGACATATCAAAATATTTAATCGGTCATGAAACAGAAGTCTTGTTTTCAATGTGAAACTTTTCTGATAAAACATTATATAATCACCGTTTCTTGCAACAAATTTCATTGATTCTTTTATTAAATTCAAATTTCTAATAATTACAAACTTAAAATCAATGACTCTGATATATTCATCAACACTTATCAGCTTTTTCCTGTTGTTAATATGAAATTTAATCATTCGACTTTTTGAATCTTTTCATATAAATCCAAACTGGATTGAAGTGCTAATTATCTTTATCTCATAAATAAAATTATTTGTAAAGACTTACCATATTGTGAACAATTGGTGAATCGTCTATAGAATAGACAGTAACAGAGAATGCTGCCAATTGTTTAAGTCGACCATCAAGTAAATAAAGACAATCATCAAAAAGTATTCACATTGATATATAAATGAGTAAGAATCGGAGAGAAAAAAGTGGTCGATGGCAAATCACAGAGGATAGCATGAACTTCGTCGTACTGACTTTCGCACTTGACTTTCGGCAATTGCCAAAAGTTGTGTTTTTGTAAAATTTTTGGCTGTAAACAGGAGGGATCTTTGGCAATAGCCAATAGTTCAGTTTCGGCAACTATCGGAGATCTTAATAAAAATATTATTCAACTAATTAATTACAGCAAAGAAACCACACTTTGGGCATTGTGCGATTTCAAGTTTCCGGAAGTCCTTAAACAATATAAGTAGACCTTATGAGTGATGATATCGTCTAATAACACATACAGTTTGAATTGATCATGGAAGAGGTATGTGAGAGAATGTATCAAGATGCTAAGTACGCTTTTATAAGAATTCGGGATCATCTATCGCTCAAAGTTCACTAAAATAATTGACAAAAGTATAGTTTCTTTACTATGATTAATTAGTCGACTAATATTTTTTAACAAGACGTCTGATAATTACCAAAAGTGTACTATTGGTTATTGCCAAAGGTCCTCCCTGTTTACAGTCGAAAGTCCTACAAAAACACAACTTTCGTCATTGCCGAAAGTCAAGTGCAAAAGTCAGTACGACGAAATTCGCGTTTCCCATCACAGAGTGATAAACCTGGATATGACATAAGAAATGGCTCAATAATACTTAGGTTTTTTAAACTTTTGAAGAAATTCAAGATGTGTGCATATACGTTTGTAGTATAATTTTTCAATGAACCTATCGTTCCGTGCTTATCATTATTGACAAGAGTAAGATTTGTAATTTGTTGTTGGCAAATAGATCGAACTGATGATTTATCTCAGGAAGAAAAAAAAACAATGAAATTAAACATACTGTAGTGTATCCTATCTAACACTTTTATTATTTCTCAACTAATCAAGTTCATACTTAAACGTTTACTTGTAAAATGATTTAAAACGATTTCCTGTTAGAAATGAAAAATTTTAAGTTCAGATAGATTTGGATACTTGGTGGCAAGAAGAATACGTTCCATAATAACTGGATCAAAAATAAAACATTTTACATTATGATGAATTATTGGCAATATATCAGTGCAGAATCGATCGATTAAACAAATATCGTCAATGGAGATAAACTTGAGAATGTTGGTGAAAGTGTTTTCTTGTGCAAGAACGTTAAGTCGTCCATTATTAATATCCAATAAAGAATAAACAACATCAATATTGTTCAATTTGTTCAAAATAATAAGTAATATTTCATCAGGTAAATCGAGAAGATGAGCATTTGATCGATTCATATTTTATTATGACTGCAATGCTTTTGACTAAGACAAAGCTGCTATATATACATACATGTTCATTGTTTTCATTGCATCACTTATGCCATTGTAAAATGAGGGTTATTCCGAATTCACTTATAAGCATCCAGCCAATAAAAATAGGGATGAACATATATCGTGTGCTGCTAAGAGCGGCTTGTCTTCTTTGACTTTTTTTCTTTGTACTATTCATTCGTTTTACTTTCATCAAAAGTTTTCGTTTATTCTGTGATAGTTACATCGTTCCTTTCTTTCTTTTGATCGTTTCTCTCTTTCTTTCTCTTCTCTAAATGTAATCAATCGATACAGCTTCGAAAAAAAGACGACATATTGATACTCTACATATTGGACGAGAAGTGTTTTGAGCACCAGAAAAGGAGTGAAATGAGCACCAGATCGATGAAGTGTGTTTTGAGCACCAAAAAAAGAGTGAAATGAGCACCAAATTTATCGATATGTGAAATGAGCACTGAAAAAAGGGTGAAATGAGCACCGATTTTCTCTATGTGTGAAATGAGCACCAAAAAATAAGACAATTGAGCACCAAATGAAAANGTGTGGGGTGTGGGTGTGAGAGTGTGGGTGTGGGTGTGTGGGTGTGGGTGTGGGTTTGGGTGTGGGTGTGGGTGTGGGTGTGGGTGTGGGTGTCGGGTGTGGGTGTGGGCGTGGGCGTGGATATGGGTGTTACTGTATGCAGAACGAATGAGACCCACACCCACACCCACACCCTAGTATTTTTTGATGGATTAGATTCTATTGGTAAGAAGAAGATTAAAAAAAAAAAGAAAATATTTTTGTTTTTGTTTTTTATAGCTAAATCTCGTGGTGGTAGTGCCGGTGATAATGATAATGCAGCTGATCGTATTTTTAATCAAATTTTAACTGAAATGGATGGTATGCGTGCAAAAAACAATGTTTTTATTATTGGTGCTACCAATAGACGATTTATTATTGATTCAGCTATACTTCAACCAGGTAAGAAAATGAAAAATTATTTTATTTAGAAAATTACAATTTTTGTTTTGTTTTTATTTAGGTCGTCTTGATCGTTTGATTCATATTCCATCTCCTGATGATAAATCTCGTATGACTATACTTAAAGCTGTTTTAAAAGAATTACCAGGAGTAGAAGGTGGTGTTTTAAGTTTATTAGCAAATAAAACAAAAGACTTTAGTGGTGCAATTTTAACAAAAATTTGTCAACGTGCATATAAATTAGCTATAAAAGAATCAATTAAAGAAAAAAAAACGTATTGGACAAACAACAATGGATTTTGATGAACAAGCTTCTGTACTTGAAATTTGTCGTAATCATTTTGAAGAAGCTATAAATTTTGCATGACGTTTAGTAAATGAGAGTGATATAACTAAATAGTTTTTATTTTTTTTTTATTTTTAAAATAAATATCTAAAGATTTGTTGAAATCTAAATTGAAAATATCTCACTAGGAAAAGTGTAATGAAAGCTTGTAATAATTATATGTTCTATTACATTTGAATGAATTCTCTTAGATAGAAGATATCAATGACATAAGATAATTAATAGAAAGATGAAATATTTTGACATTCGTTGACCTGATAGTATACTAAAAACGGCAGCAAGTTAAAGATGTTAGTTTTTCTGCTAGTATATTTTGAAGTAATTTCATTTCGTTCAAAACCATAAGATGAGTCTGATTCCAAGAAAGGTAGTTTACGTTAACTGAAACGGATAACAACTTCATATCGCGCATACATCAAATTCAATTATTGAAATTGTTTTGAACTTTAGATCGAACGCATTCAGAAATTAATGTTCATTTATTCTTTAATTTGAGTTAGATTGAAAAAGTAAGAACTATTTTTACATTTAAAATGAAATCAAATCTTTTTGTATGTCTTCAAACAATTGCGGAAGGAGCATTTTCATTTTACCTATAACTCTGCAGCATCACAAAATGTTGTGTGATTTTTTTCTTATAAAATGAGAAACGATCATTAATAGTTAATATTTCTTTATATTTGAGAAATATCATTAGCCTATAAATACAATATTTATCATATTTTTCAGTTTATTGAATAAATCAAAACGAGAATACATCTACTAATACAACGAAGGAAAATAAAGAAAAACATCTTCCAAATATACCAATAATCCTAGCGTATCTATTCGTTCCACCCTAACACAATTACGTCGTGTTTCTTTTCTTGTGAAGTTTTTTGTTACAGCTTTTAAATCATCAACAGAGACTTCAAATTCCGTCAGACAAGGTATGAATGCCTTTGTTTCATTTAGAAATTGTTCAACATAATCTCTATGTGCATATCTCACATCGAGTCTAGTCAGATGAAGGTATTCAATAATTGAGTGTAATAGACAATTGTGAGATGAAAATGTCATAAGACCATCTAATACTTGTGATTCTATATTAAAAATACGTAAATACTTCAGTAATGGAAACGATCGGGAAATTCGAATGAAGAATTCATGTTTGAATGGATTAGTATCTTCTACAAGTAAAAACGTGACATAACTGAATACAATATTTGGAAATTCATTACCAAGTTGTTTTACATAATCAAATTCAAAAGGAAGTGAGAAAATCGAGCATGCAGCTATCCCACCTTGAATATAATTGACTATGCTCGTGACATGTTGTTGTCCAATATTTGTTAATGTTTGTTGAATATCTTCAGTAGATAACTTGTAGGATAAATCAACCGTTTTCACATAAGTACAAATATAGAAAGTGAATGAATGAAGTTGTGGCGTATAATACAAAATATCATGTTGAACATAAGTACCATCAATCACTGTATTTCGACCTTTTATAGGAAGGTATAAAGTTAATTTTTCCAGATTTGACATACGACGAAGAAGTGATACAATTCTATCATATTGTTTAAATCGAAAGAACGATTTTAATGAGAAACATTTTAGATTAAATAATTTATCCTACAAAAAGAAAGAAATGTTTTTTTGATAATCTACAAGATTAAGTCATAGGCATCATTATTTTACACATGGTGTATGATCTATATTCTATCTGTGAATCACCACAAATGACAAATATATTAGTTTGATTTTCTCATTTTACAGCGTAACAAACGAGTGTTCAAAGAACAATTAAAGTTCCAGACAAACTTCCAATCATATGTCAATTATTGGAAAAATTGTTATTATAGAAAAAGTTTCGTTCCATTCTATGCTGATGATCATTCACATATGATAATATTTAATCAATCATGAAACAGAGCAGTCTAGTTTTCAATGTGAAACTTATCCGATAAAATATTATATAATTATAATTTCTAGCAACAAATTTCATTGATTCTTTTATTAAATTCAAATTTGTAGTAAATACAAATTTAATGTCAATGATTTTGATATATTCATCAACACTTATCCGTTTTTTCCCCTTGTCAACATGAAACTTAACCATTCGGTCTCTTATTTGAATTTTTTGAGATCAATCGTTAACTGCATTAACATAGTAATAATCTTCATGTCATAAATAAAATGATTTGTAAAAACTTACCATATTGTGAACAATTCTTGAATATTCGTCTATAGAATAGACATTAACACACAATGTTGTCAATTTTCTAAGTCGACCATCAAGTAAATAAAGACAATCATCAAAAGTTTTCAGATTGATATATAAATGAGTAAGAATCGGAGATGAAAAAGTAGTCGATGGCAAATAACAAAGTGATAAACCTGGATACATTGATATAGCAGATGGTTCCATGATACTTAATTCTTTTAAATTTTTGAAGAAGGTCAAGATGTGACTATATACGTTTGTAGTATAATTTTTCAATGAACGTATCATTCCGTCTTCATCATCATTGATTAGAGTAAGGTTTGTAATTTGTTCTTGAAAAATAGATCGAACTAATGATTCATCTAAAGGAGAAAACAATGAAATGAAACATATTGTAGTCTATTCTTTATAATACTTATTATTTCTCAACTAATCAAATTCATATTAAATGCTTACTTGTAAGATAATCTAAAGCGAAGTCTTGTTGGAAATGAAGAATTTTAAGTTCAGTTAGATTCGGATAGTCAGTGGCAAGAAGAAAACGTTTTATACAAAATGAATCAAAAATAAAACATTTCGCATTATGATGAATTCTTGGTAATATATAGTTGCAGAATCGATCGATTAAAGAAAAATCATAAATGCCGACAAGCTTCAGAATGTTGGTGAAAGTGTTTTCTTGTGCAAGAATGTTAAGTCGTCCATTATTAATATCCAATAAAGAATAAAGTACATCAATATTGTTCAACCTCTTCAAAATCATAAGTAATATTTCATCAGGTAAATCCAGAAGATGAACATTTGATCGGTTCATATTTTATTATGACTGTGATGCTTTTCACTGCGACAGAGCTATAGGTACTTCTTCAGATCAACGACACCATTAACCAGTGTTTCTAATTGAATTCTAAAACAAAATGTACAGACATTTACATCACCGAAGTGAAACGAAAGAGCAAAAAAGAAAAAGAAAAACTTGTAGTATAAACAAAGATATATTATAAAATTTTCCAAAATAGTGTACACGCTGCTTTGTTAAGCAAACTCTACTGCAACGTGTATTTTCATAGCTGCAGATGTTTGTATATTTTGCTTCCGCAGTGTACGCTTGCCATTAGAAACCCTGCCACTAACCATTGGCCGCGTAATAAAGAGGAAGGGAAAATTTTCCTTTCCTCTTTATTACGCGACCAATGGTTAGTGATCTCGTTGATCTGAAGAAGTACCGAGCATATATACCTATATTGTTCATTGTTTGCATCTCACCACTTTGACCTTAAACAGACTGAAAAAAAGAAAATGGAGTAAGCAACGTGATTGGTCTATCCCGACTTAAATCATGTTTTTTAGACGATTTATTCGTTAATTCAGTCTTAATTCGTTTTATTTTTTTTCATTCTGTTTGGGCGTTTTGCGCCATTATCAAATTGAATAGGTCAACGTTTTCACAAACGTAAAACATTGATGTATCGTTCGATCATAGTCATTCATTGTTGTGTGCATTTTCGAAAGAAGTTGAAGGAGGGTGTGGGTGTGGGTGTTGGTATAGATGATCAATTCACCCACACCCAGGCATCCACACCCACACCCAGGCATCCACACCCACACGCACACACACACACAGGCACCCACACGCACACCCACACCCACACCTCACACCCACACCCACACCCACACCCGTACCCACACTCACACCCACACTCACACCCAGGTGAACCCCAGATATTTAAACGAGTCAACAATCCCTATTTTCTGGCCTAGCATGTAAATATTTACTATTGGTTTCTTAATTTGGGAATGAAAAATCTGTGCAACTGTCTTCTTCCCGTTAATCGGTTGCTTCCATAGGTTGGAGTAATTGGCAATTAGATCACATACTCTGCTACCTTCTTGTTCTAGATACTTTATTAATGCTGTGTATGATTTTTGGAGTGGGGCTCGAATGAGAACACTCAAGTCATCAGCAAAAAGATGGCCTGGGTGAGCTTCGAAGCATGAAAATAAGTCACTATGGTAAACTACAAAGAGATACGGGCTTAAACTGCTTCCTTGGGAAAGTCCAACCTGGATATTGAAAATTTTTGACTTCGTTTCTCCAAACCATATGTATGCTGTGCGATTTGCTAGCCAACTTTTAATCATTTTTAGTAGGTTAGTTGGTATGCGCAATCTGTACATCTTGACGAGGAGACCGGCATGCCAGACTGGGTCATAGACTTTTTCATAATCAACATATACGGCTAATGTAGGAGCGTTAGCGTATAAGTTATTCTTGACTTCTTGGTATATCGAAAGAACTCTGGTTGAAAGGAGGCATTTTGTTCTAAATCCAGATTGTTCATGCGGTACTAAACTGCTACCTTCAGCCCATAGTCTAGTTCTATCTAGCAGCACTTTTTCAAATAATTTAGAGTGTGTTGCTAGAAGGGAGATGGGTCTGGTTTGGTTGCACTCAGGAACACCGCTCTTTAGTTTATTAAGCGTAATAATCTTGGTTTTTTTTCCAGAATTCTGGAAATCTACATTCCTTCAGCCATATGTTAAAACAGTTCACTAAGCATTTTATGTAGCTAGGAGGCAGGAGCTTAATAATATGGTTCGAAACCTGATCATGTCCGGACGATTTTTTCCCTCTCATTTTTCTGATAATTTTTGTGATTTCTCAAACGGTTGTGGCTTCTAGTTCTATTTTCGCTGAGCTATCTAGTACTTTTTCAATTTCTTGATTTTCTCTGGTAACCTGAATATCATGAGAATTGGTCGAGTCGATTGCAGGCGCTATCGATTGATCTCTAAAATATTTGAAAAGTTCTTCCGTAATCTCGTGTCCATCTGATACGATCTTAGTGTCTACCGCTAGCTTCGAAAAGGGAAGCGTCTTAGCTTTGTAAATTCTGGAAAAATGGGACCAAAACGCCTTATTTTGATTGTCATTGGTGTCTTGAATATTAGACAGAAAGCTTGTCCATCTAGCTGTTCTATATTTGTAGATCTCGTTTCGCACGTCTCTCGTCATCGTTCTGAGCAGCACCCGAAGATCTTCATTACCTATACCTGTTTCTTTTCTTCCTCTGTAGTACCTATTACGTACCCTTCTCACTTCGCTAAGCTGCTCTACAATGATTGATGGCAGTGAGGGACGATATTTTTCCCTTACTTTCCATACAATCAGACGACTTTTCAGTGCTCCAAGAAAGCGAACGTAGTTGAGATACCACAAATCGTAAGATTGTTTCTCTTGTTCTCTGACCCACACCCTCTTCCACAAGTACTAACATGGTTTGGTAAATGGTCCAGTCTATATGGGGAAACAAACCGCTTGTAATTAAGTCTACACTTTCGCATGTTAAAACCGTTGGCCAATGATCACTTGTACCGCACAGAATTGTATTATTTTCCACCCTGTTCAGGTTCGTAAAGGTTAGGTCTATATGTCTATTAGATCTCTTTGACGAGTAGACCGTTGTAGGAAGAAACATGAGTTGATTTTCTATAATCCATTTCTTTAGAAGGGCACCACGTTTATCAGTTGATTCGCTACCCCAATCTTCTGCAGTTGCGTTAAAATCCCCTGTTAAAATCGTGTTTTTACCAAGAAATGGACGCAAGTCATTTAGATTACGAGCTTGTCCATGAGGTCAATAGATACCTATTATTCTGATCTGTTCGGAGAGACCGTCGACATCGACAACTACTGTATTCTCTATGTCTGAATGAATACGTGTTGCTCGCAAGTGTTTTCCTATCATTATCATTACTTCTCCACTGTGGTTGGTTCCTATTTGATAGGAGGAGTTAAAATAAGGGACCTTGAATTTATTCCATAGTTCGCCTACTTCTGTGAATACACATACTGGGCTATCTGCTTTAAAAATTGAATCCATTGCCTCCAGCGCTCTGGTACCCCATCCTTGTACATTATAAGTGAGAATATTTAAAGGTATGAATTCTGTGACAGCTGGACATGGATTATCTTCCCAAAAGATAGAACCCGATCGAGAGTAGAGTTTGAAAACCATTCTTCTAAAATTGAAATTATCTTTTTCTGAATTTTTATGGGAAACTTCCAACTTGCCAATCTGTCTAATGCTTGAGCTAGTGGTGAAATAATAAGTGGAGAAGAAGGAGAACGGGATGGAAAAGAAAAGGGGAAAGCATTAACATTGAAACAGGAGGAACTGCTAGGCATTGTTTTCTATAGAGTTCATTGAATGGTCACCGTCAACGTATACTTCTTTTTCGTTGTTATTGTTGATATTAATATTGGTTGTTGGTGGTGGTTGAGGCGAAGATGAAGATGGTGACGATAAGTTGTATTTGTCTATATCTAATCTTTGTTGCCATTCTTTAAGATTATCGATCTACATGTTAATGTTTTTCTTTAATTTTGTTCGTTCACTATTACTTGCTTGCACCCAGTTGGATAATGTAAAACACGTATCAATAATTGCATTTATGCTATTATTATAGAGCATAGCGCGTTTGTCTTGGGACTCGATACATGTATTCAATGAGTTTAGGTTCTTTTCCACTCGAGTCATGGTATCTGACAAAGCGTTGATGGCTGCAGATAAAACATTTACTTCTCTAATCAGGTTTGATTGATCAGCTTGAGGTACTTGAGGTATGGATGCTTGCCAGAATCGACGAGCTTCACCTTGACCTTGAGCATGAGCATGGATTAATGTAGGAAAATCATCATCTTGTACTTGGAATGGTCGTGATGCTTCACCAGGTGATTTTCGTTTAATTAAACCTGAAGCTAATGCATTATCAACTGCAACTTTAAATTCATCTCTGTACTGCTTGATCACCGGACATGTTGAACTAAGCAAAAGATGGTTTTCTCCACACTGAACACATTTAATATCATCCATTAGACAGGTGTGTTTTAATCCATTAACATATAGCATTAAACATTTTCGGCAACAGACATGTGATTTACATTTTCCTCTCATATGACCAACTTTCCAACAGGATGTACAGTAGGTCATATGATAACTGGGCAGAAATTGAGTAACAGGTAAATAGTATTGACCAACTGGTATACGACCGAATTCTAATACTGTTTGATATTATTCAAAATCACGAACACTAAATCGAATATCATAAGATGGATGCTTACGATGTTGGTAATAAATTGTGGGGAAAGAAACTGCTGCTGGACTTGTCTTAATAATTTCTCTTCTAGCTAATTCCTCATTAATATCCTTGGCGATGTAACGAGCGACCATTGATAAACATTCTGGGATTGATCGAGGTTTCATTATTTCCATCTACTTACCATCCAATTCATCAGGCCACGACCAGTTAAATAATGTTAAGAAATCAATCTTGTCATTTACTGCAAATTTAAATCTACGATCATCTGCTGGCCCACATAATGACAATTCTTTAATAGACAAATGGTGGACCACAAATAGTTTCTTTAGCATGATTGCCACTTGAGTACATGATGGAATATCAATCCGATCAATAACTAAATCAAAGGAAATGAAGAAACATGGAAGATTGTTATTCACTGCCCGCTTGAGCATATTGATGTTGAAAGAGAAACGAGATTGAGGAAGAGCAATAGTAGGTTGTTGTTGAACTGGTTGTTGGTAGTGAGGTGATTGTTCATTTTTTCTTGGACGTTTCGAAGCGTGTTGAAGATTACTGTTACTATTATCGAAGCTATCACTTATAGGACGTCGTGGAGTTGAGGTAGTGCCTGGGATAATTTCGAGTTGTTCCATTAATGGACGTACTTGTAAACGGGTCTGTTTATGATGATTCATAAGAGGAGGAATGGGCGAATTAGTTTGTTGTTGTGGTGAATAAGATGAAGGAGGACGTTGAAGTGCAAGAAGCGATGGACATGGCGTATCCAATTTATGTTGTTGTTTTTGAACTGAACCTTGCGACTGTTGGATAAGCGTACGACCGATTTGATGACGTTCTTCATTTGTAAGACGATTGAGAAAAGCTGCTAGATCCGGTAGAAAGACAGGACTAGAGCACATTTTCTACACTCAGTCTCAGGTGAATGTAGAAAAAAAGGGGACTTGTAGTGAGTATACCACAAGAAGAGGAAGGGAGAAAAAAAAATGTATATAGATGAAGTTAATATGTGACCGATCGATAGCGTGCAAAGGAAAGAAGTGACAAAGTGTCTTATTCACGGCAGCATACAGTACAAAATTTCAAAAAACTAATCACGGATTTGAGTTCCTCGACCCGAAAAATCTTGGGTCAAACTTTGTCTCACTTAGTTTAATGAATGAACTCAGTTCACCTCCGGCGCTCTAATGAACGAACGAACGAAGATAACTCACTCAGCGTATGACCCTCCTTTCAGTAGAGGGAACAAGGAACCGAGTATTATACGTCAAATGATAGCAAAAAATTGTGTTAGACTTCAACCAACTCTATAAAATTCGGCACTTTCAGTTACTCGAAACCTTGCAAAATCCTTTGAGCAGCTCCATGAGTAACCTTGCTGTTTCATATCACAATATACATCTAATAAAATTCAACGTCTGATCTTCTATAAGATAAGAGTTTCAGCACTAATCACAACTTTCTAGGGCGACCATTGTTCTGGAATTATATGCTACTTTACAGATTTCTATTCGATTTCCCAAGGTTTTGAACGATTTTGAACATAGTGGGTCTACGGCTTCTTATAGACCTCTAAATCCGCAATTCCTTTTTTTTTCACTTGACATAAATTTACGGTGATATCATGTTGTGATGCTAAAAGCACAAGAGAAAAAGAGAACATTTTATAAGTTATAATATGCATAAAAACTTTGCTCGTATATACACGGGCTCCATAACCGAATGTTAACATAGTGATATTCGTGCATATATTCGAATGACTTCTGGTCTAAATATCAAGTATAATAAGTAAAAAAAAAGAAAATCTATTTTGGCGATCATTTCTAACACAGAAAGATTTTTTTTTCAAGGTACTTGCTGAATATAATATCGAGAGAAATCTTTTCCTATGCATTATATACATTATCATGGAGAAAAAATAGAAATTCACTAAAACAAGTCAAATATTGACATTTTGTTATCATCTAATATTATTCGTAGTGTATTTACTCAAACTCATTGTAGTCAATTACCACGATATCCATATCAATTTATTATTTGTTATTTAACAGATTCAAAATGAATAATTAATTAAAAACAAGTATGTTGAAATTTGAAAGAAATTTCATTGAATCAATTCCTGAAAAATTTCCATATCTAGGTAGTATTGTGCGATATTTTTGTTTGGGAAATGAATTTAGATGATCAATTTCAACGTTCATCACCTTGTTCACAATGGGTTCCATCGCATCAATGTATTATTCAAATCTAAATATTTCTACAATACACATGATTTTCAGTTTTTGTTTTAAAACTCAGGCTGTGAAGTATGATTTAAATAGTATTACTACAATTACTATTCCAGAATTATTGTATAAATTTAAATCGAATACTAGTGTTTATAGAACTAGTTTTGCTTGTTTTTCTCGTAACGATTGTGATTGGACTACAGCCCGTTGGGGTCCAAAATTTTTGGAAATAGACTCGAATCTGCTCGAACTGTATTTTGACACTTATAGTGAAATTTTTAACCAGAATTTCATAGTCTTCCACAAGATAAGAGATTCTTTTTTTCCGATTTTTTTGCTATTCGATGATTAATGTATCTTACACATTTCTTATATATGACTAAAATTCGTCCAGTCCAAAATTTTCGAATTCAGATCTGACTGAATCGGAGACCAAACTAACGAGCTCTAGATTGAACACATGTTATTTATCGACTCATTCAAATTAGTTATGCGTTTTTATTCCAATGAATTAAAACTTTTTTGTTTAATAACGGTTCAAATGCACTGCGTTTTCAATGATATTCATCAAATAGTATGAATAATTGTAATAATACTATATGTTCATCGATTGTGTAGGAGAAAGTTATAACCATCAGCCATTAAATGTTAAAGATTGTTTGTACCTAAAAATCTCCATATGAATAAATTAATAATGAACTATATTTGATAACAAAAGCAGTATAAATATTTCGTAAAATATCTGACGAATGAATACATAAATACAATGATGTATTATGCAAAAGAACTCAAAAAAAAAAGTCAAGATAAATTATAAGAAATTGAAGTTTGTAACAATGATATTACAATAGAAACAGACTCTTCAGAATAAGTGATTAAAAAATTAAAAATAATAGAAGAAAAACTATCGTATTATCTGACTTATCATTTTTGTGAAGAAACTTCAATAGAAAAATAATAATTTGTTAAATACTGTGAAACCTTGATATTTTATCGCACTAGTTATCAAATCAATTACTACGATTTGAGCAAATGATGAATAGTTATTTTGATTGAAATTTGTTATTCATTCTATATAGCATTATTTCTTAAAGGCAATTGCTTCTCATCTTTAAAAAAAGATATTAGATTTTGTCAAGTAAATACAAACAGCTGCACTAATACGGCTGCTAGTCTAGAATTCTTATGAATAAAGAATGATTCATCACTCAGAGAAAACTATACGAATTAAAAAGTTTCATAAAACGAAGTCTTCATCAAACTACAAATAATAATAGTTTCTTTATATTTTGTATTGAGCTAAAATTTGATTAATTTTGCTTTTGTGAATCATTGAGTAATTATCGAATAGTATCATTCAAAAAAATATAATTCGTTATATGCATTGCATTTGATGAATGATGATACAATGGAAAAAATGATCCTATTTTCCTGTGAAAAATTCTTTGATTATAATCGAAATATTTTACAAACAAAATCAAAATTATTATTAATTTATGAGTTTTCCTATTATTTTTAATGGTCGAAATCTTCTGAATTGATGTTAATTTTGATTTTGTTGCACAATAATCTGATTGTAATCGAAACATTTTTTACTTGATTCTATATGATTCTTTTCATTGGAATGATTCATCTTTAACATCAACGAGATCGTATAGCAAAAAGAAAAAAAAAGTGATTAATGTATCTCGTTGATTCCTATCAACCAAAATAGAATAGATATTATTATTTTAGACATACTTCAATTCAAGTCTCTTTCGCATTCTATGCATCGCTCATCATTAATAATTGCTGTTGGTTATATTTATTTTTCTAGCATTCGTCACACTTTTTTATACACTGCAAGAAATAGACTAAAAAAATGGCGATGATTCATCTCCATGATCGGTCTGGTTTTCGTCCGAGCAAGCGAAAAAATTGACGGTATTTTAACTGAGAGCACAGTTTGCGTTGATTGCCGATCTGACAAGAAAATGTAGATGAAGAGCAGAACATGTGGAGATATAAAAGAGAAAGTAAAAAAATATGACAAAAAAACGTTCGCGTTTTACATATCAAGCTACAAGCTTTTTTTTCTAATTATTCACAACGCTCAAATAAATTCAACTCCTATGGAGGGAACTAGTGAAACGGCTCCGTTAAGAAGTGAACCTAGTACAGCATCTCCTTTTTCAATGACTGCAGCTGGGAAAACATTTGGTTCAACTTATATTCTCGTGTAAATTTTATTTTAATCTATGTAATTTGAACTTAAAAATAATTTAATTTTTACAGTTCGGCATTGCTTGGATCTATTATTCCATTAATTAAATTGATAATTGGTATATATTACAAAGGGGATTGTCCTATTGATCAACGCATTCCAACTTATATGGTCGTTTCTGGTGCCTGTGGTCTAGCATTGACTGGATTAGCAATTTTACTGTCTATGTATATTTAGTTTTTTTTTAAATTCTTTCGATATTTAATATTTTTCTTTAGTACATTTATGTGCTTTGTTTCGGATTCAACGACGCTGAATGTTTTAGCTAGCTGTTCTCTATGTTTAAGTGTATTGGCAACAATTATAATATCAATTTTTCTTTTTATTTGGTTCATTATTGGTTGTGTATGGGTATTTGGTATTCATGACGAAGTACAGTTTGATGATCGATGGAAATCTAATTATTGCGAACCAGTTTTATATAAAGCAGCATTTGCATTACTTATAATAACGATTATTTGGAGTGTTCTTCAATGTTGTTTTTCATGTTTTCGACAATGTTGTACAGGACGAAGTAACTGAATCAAGCGAAAACTATTATTTTATATAATGAATATGTTCAAAATTACTATTTATTATTACTTAAAACGTGACATTTCACAACCAGTGTCTATTGTATTTGAATATTTAAATTCAGCTTGAAGACTTCAATGTGTTTTTTTTTCGTTTTAGATAGAGTAAGATCGAAATTATAAATTTATTTAGTATTGATAGTTTGAAAATCATTTAAATAAATATCGCTTATTCGTCATATTCATAAGTTTAAGATTATCTTCACTAGAATGAATTCTTTATAAAAGATTTGTTTTTATGCTATTTCCTTTTTTGCTACGATTGTGACTTATTAGAAACTAGTTGTTTTAACTCAAAGGCGTCTTTTTTGATCATTTAAAAATGTTATGTTGAATGGAAAAGATGGTAGTCACTCCATTCTGATAAAAAGTTCTTAAAATATAACAATGAGTAATAATGGATTGCGTGCTACATTTTTTAACATCTGTCAATTTTAGTTTTGTTAACTGCAAGACAAAAATAATGCCTTTTAGCACTTATTCTTTTCGGAAAAAGAGAAAGAAGACCATTTCTAGAGCTTGTTTTAATTTCCATTGGTCCGTCTGTAGATTTTTAATTTATTTGGAAATATTTTAAGTAAATTAAAAACCGTTAGCTATAAATTTCGAAATAATGAATATCAGACAAAACGATATCTGGTTCATTCTATAAAACTGAAAAATGATCGAATTAAATATAACATGTTAACGACGATCGAACAGTTTGTTTTGTATCATAAGACATTTATACTGGATATAGAGTGAAAAAGGATTTAGATATTGTAGACACAGAAAATAAAACTATTATTACATATTAAAAATTATCTTATGAAATTCGTCTCGATCTCAAATATACAGTATCAATGAGTCATGAAGCTCTACTCTATCACATTCTAAAATAGTCTAAGGGAACAATCCTTGTCGAGTAAAACTCCGGTAATATTTTGAAAGTTGCACTGTATTACATCAGTACAGATGCATCATGCTGCCGTACTCTACCTAATTCAAGAGGAGTTATCTGAAAAATGGTTTCTTTCCTCTTTCTCTCAACATGTAAATGAGAGACAAGTTTTATGTGTGTCTTCTACACTGTTTTATTCCGGTCTTGTAATGTTGATCATGCCCGCGAGTTCAGCAACAATCGAGAGATTTTTTTCGTAAAAGTCTTGTTCTAATTCTAATATTTCTTCGCGTCCTACATTAATAGCACATTTTGTTTCTTGCTTCCTTGACGCTCATTCTGTTGGAGTTTCCCAGATATACTCATACAGTTCAGTAAACGGTATTTTATCGTTTTAAGAACTTTTTTCGTTCGAAGAAGTATCTACATGTCGCAGATGATACTTTTCTGTCAACAAAAAAGTTCTGAAAATGACAAAATAACTTTCCTCGCACGGTATGGGTACTTACAGTTTTGATACATACTTACTGTTGGTGCATTCCATGTTTTATTTTTGTCGGATATATAAACCTAGCGTCATTCCAAAATAAAGTGTTAAGAAAAACATTACTTGTTGTAAACTGCTAGTAGCCTAAGAGACACCATGAGAACAGCCAGTTCCGAAAATTTTTGTTGCTCTTGTTTTTCTTTCTAATAACTGATTCATGCACTTTAATTGCCAAAGTAGGACGTGGGTGCCATTCAAGACAAGATTGACATCCATACCCGCATCCATGTGAGCTTGATTGTGGCGCAGTACGAATCTGCGAGAACCAAATGATGTTTTTTCACAAAAAAAATATAAACAAGTCTATTTTTCGAACGTGTGCGTACTCCTCCAAAATACGATGAAACATCTGTCGCGTCTAAACTAGTTCATTAAACGCAGTTGAATGTATCTTAAAAACGCTTCTGGACCCATCAAATGTTTCATTTTAAATGCTATACACTATTACATCGGAAGCACTATATATTTCTTTTCGTGACATTAATAATTTCGTTTTGATTTCTTGCTACTTAGTTCTATCAAAACTAGCGTGGTTATTGGAGGGTGATTAAAGACAAGACTGTCACTCATATCCACAAAGCAGAAATCGACAAGATTTAATTCGCTAAGAAAAACAATATGATTGAATGAGTCTTATTCACGTTTCGCTTGTTGGTCACATGCTAGTTCATATGTTGCTACGGACGATTCTTTCTCTTTCATATATCCTTCTCTTTTTTTCCCAATTGCTTTTGCTCGCTTAGAGCATATTCACATAACACGTTCTGTATCTCTTTGCAAAACAAAACGATTAATTAAAAGTAGCTTACAATTTGTTTTTCTTTGCTTTCTAGCTTTTTTGCTGACAAAAACATTTTTTCGCAAAGCTGTTAATGAATAACTTTTGTTTTTGAAATACGTACTTTGTATTATTCTTCATATTGTGTAACCTCTTCATCTGTTCAAGTATTAATAATTTCTTTTTAATAGAAAAGATAGGTAAACGAAAAGAGATTGTTCCTATGAATATGAGCTAGTGTGTAGCCAATTAACGAAACATGGGTAAGACTTATTTGAGAAGTTATTTATTCTTGAGGTATTGATTGATGAACAGTTTTCTTCTTTTTTCTCTACATGACCTCGTCGTTATAATGTTGACTTTGAATGACACGTTGTTTCCTTTCTCTTTTCTACTGTGTTAAATGAATAAGAATATGTTCGTACTACTGTATAGATACGACTGAGATAATAAAGTTGCTCAATAAATATAATTTTTAATAACACCGATAGAGTTATTTGTACAGTTCGTTACACTGTCCACTTAAATAATTCTTTGTAAATAATAATATTCTCTTTTTCCTAGATTGAATATAGGAACATCAAAAATCTAAGAATAAATAATCGATAGTTCATTGATGACATTCTTTTTATATAGAAAAGAAGAAGAGTTAATTGGTTATTTTTTCTGTCTAGAAAAAACATATATATTTTATTGAACATTTTAAAAACAGATTTATGGATCAAGTTAAACGAAAATTAACTTTTAAAATAGTAGATATAATTTTTCTTCTTTTTTTTAATTTTCAAATAAATAGATGAATTCGATAGATCAATAACTTGTATTGAAAATTTGTCTAATGAATTTTTGTATGAAATATTTGATTATTTTGATGATCACAAAATAAATAAAACATTTTCAAATTTTAATCAACGTTTTCAAAAACTTCTCAATGCTTCACCATTTTTATTTAAAATTGATCTTAATAATGCAACATATATGAATAATTAAATACAATTTCTTTTTCTAGATAGCCATAAAATATTTTACACCAATCTATTGTTAGATTGAAAGACCAATAATCTATTCTCGCTATTTGCCATTAACTCGTCGCTAAGCCATCTCGAATAACTTTTTTATTGAATTAAAACAAACTGATAATTTTGCTTCGATTCTTATTCTATTTATCACTCTTGTACTGTCAACGAACCTTTTGTTATTATTGCTTATGCGCCTCAACTTCATCGTCTGTTTTTTGTAAATAGTATTGATATTGATACAAATATTCAAGCAATATTACCAATTACATTATCAAATTTAACATATATTTCGATATCTATGAATCATGTAAAATTTAATGAATTTGAAATACTGATTAGAAAAATAGATTCTAAATTAAAAGTACTATGTGTTACTATTCAATCTAAAAATATAACTTTTCTTAATGCTTATGTATGGAAAAAATTAATTTTACAATCTTTTTTTCAATTGGAAGAATTTTATTTACGATATTATGAATTGCTTGATGATGAATATAAATATCCTGTATATTCAGAAGGATCAGATCAATTTATTTCATCGTTTTAAATTGAATGACAATGGACATTTGAAGCTGAAATCAAGGGTGAAGCTATTTATTATTCAGTTCATCCATACAGGTACATTGAGAATATCGTTTTTGTATGAAATATATGATTTCTTTTTTCTCTTCTGTTAGAAAAAGATGATATGAATATACACAGGACAAGACTTTTTGTTCTTCTGTTAAATTTTCTAAATATACTCGATTAATCATTACATATATTGGTCCTGACAATGTTCGTAAATTACTGAAAATAGATACCACACGCATTTTGAGTATAGCACAAATATATCATTTAGAAATTCCAAAACAAAAGATCTCAACTAGTGCTTTAATCAAAACTAATTTTATTACCGGAACTTACTACTTTAAAAATTCATTTTCTATCATTATATCAACGAAGAATGTTAAATTCTGAAGAATTTACTATTTTGTCTTCAAGTGAATATACAAGTAATATTAAAAAAAGTATATCTTGAAAAGATGAATGAAATTGAAGAATTTGATTTTCTTTTGCAATTGTGTCCTTATATGGAATATTTTAAAGTTGATTATATTAAATGTATGGATTTCAAATTTGTTCTCCGGTATATTATAAAAAAAATAAAAAATGAATGTAATGATTATCTTCGTTTATTGTATTTTCGTATTTCAACAGCAGATGATGAGATGATTAAAAAATTAAAAAGAATGATTAATTGGGAAAAGCTTCTATTTATAGAATTAAACACGTAGTTGATAATATCTATTTAGAATGCAAATGATTTGACGATGAGTAGCATTGATTCTTGTAAAAAATGTATCTTTTGTTTTTAATTTTATTAAATAAAATAAATGGTCTTTTAGTTAGCAAAATTCGTATCAAAATATGATTATTTATTTCTTCGCATCAATGATGAAGAAAATATATATTTTTTCTCGCATAAATTTTCGAATCAAGAAAAAGAATGATCTCACTGCAAGGTATTAATGAAAAATATAAACTATGAATTAATGGCAGGTCGAAAAAGTTTTAGACAAAATATTTAGTCATTTTTCGTTCATGTGAAAGTATTTCAAAAGAGTTAGGAGCTATGAATTAGAAAAAGACTTTTGTGCGCCTTACGAATATGGGTTCAGATATTTTATATTTTTTATGGCATTGGAAGAGGTGAGAGAATCTTTGAATGACCTGAAAAATGAGT